CAGAGGTGAGGCCAAAGCTCGACCAAATTGAAGCTCGCTCGCAGTGAACACGAGGCTCGCTCGAGTATGAAATCGAGACTCGTCCTCGAAGCTCGCCTGAGAATGAGCACGAGGCTCGCCTGAGCTTTGAAGGATCGAGGCTCTCCTGAGATCCGAACGTCGAGCTCGCCTACAACGAACGTTGACTACGCTTGAGTCGAGCTGAAGCTCGCTTGAGTTAAACCCGAGGTTCGCCTGATTCCAAAAACGGGGTTCGGCTGAAATTCGAACACGAGGTTCAACTGAAGCAACATCGAGGTTCGCTTGATGTTCGAACACGAGATTCGCTAAAATTCAAACACGAGGTTTGACTGAAGCTTCGAACATGAGGTTCGACTTGGAGCAAACTGAAGTTAGTTGGAATCAGACCGAAGTTCGTCAGAAGCCTTCAACAAAGTTGAATTGAACACGAGGTTCGCCTGAAGTTCGAACCTCGAAAAACCCAAAGTTTGCCTGAGAACAGGTAAGTCCTCAAGCCTTAATTTTTTTCCACCAATTAGGGTTTAGATCTGAAACGCTACCGCCGCTTGGGCTGCAGCCAACGAATACCCCTTAGGGTTTCGTTCTGAAAACCACCACCGCCACTGTCTTCATTTGACAATGGGGCCGTCGTCGATACATCTCCGGCGAGCAGTTGGAGAACGACGACAAACCAAAATAAAAACCAATTTTCTGTCGATTTTGAACTCAATCCAGATCCGAAACTTGAATCCATTTCAGATCCAAACATCCAAAAAATGGAATCAAACAAAAAAGAAGTGAACTTTACAGTTCATGAGTGCAACAAATCCAAAAAAAATCGAAAGAAAAACCAAACAAAAATGAACTTTTACTGTTTATCTGTGAATAGTTTTGAAAAACCACAGATCAAGATCAAACCCAATTTTTTAATTCTTAAACCCCTAAGAAATAATCACGGTGGCTCTGATACCACTTGTTGAACTTAATCGTGATTAAATCATAGAGATTAAACAACAAGAGCGGAAGGTATACCCAAATCAATTATTTGGATCCGAGTTAGGGTTTTGATGATCTTCTAATCTTAGGGTTTCTCCTTTTGATATCTCTTTAGATGGGGATAAGAGAGTAGAGAGTGTATTTAACCCTAGATTAGGGACCATAACCCCATATTTATAGATGTTGTACTTTTATAATTTGACTCATCATCATATTATAATTACAACATGGTATCTGCATATTTAGCTCATGATTTATTTAAACACCCATTAACTCAAATTGATTGATCACTTCCAGCGGGTTATCCTTAAGGATAGCAATACACATTAATTAATTATATGTGCTACAAATTAGATTTAATTAGATTTAAATCCACCGCTTATGTATCACTCTGTGGATTCCTCTTCTCCCTAAGTTTTTTTTTTGAGATGTGCATTCGTACTTCTTCTGGTTTTAGCTTGTAGGTGGTCCTTTATGCTTCTTCTCTCCATTCATTGGACAAAATCATTTTGGTCATTATTGAATAGGTGAAGATAATGATGATGATAAGAGAATGAGATACAAAAAAGGACACGCTTACACTCTTTGAGCGATCAAATATTATTATTTATTATTATTTTTGGTTAATTGTAGGTTCATGCTATGCACTATAGAGAGGGGTACCCTAAACTTCTCTATTTGTGCTTAGCCTTCCTGAAAATACGTCCCCTTCGTTATTTAATAGTGTCATATCAAGTCAATCTATTTACAGCAAGATCACCTGATATTGCAATTTGTGAACAAATTTTCAAAAGAGACTCATTTGTAAACTTAATCCCAAAAAACGATCTTATTCAAACAAAATTACAAAAACCGACCTGGTTTTAGCCTCAGCGCTAAAACCAGGCGATTTTTAAAAAAAAAAAATTCGAAACTTCACGGGAGTTGAACTCCCGTGAAGTTTAGTAGATCTGCTAAACTTCACGGGAGTTCAACTCCCGTGAAGTTTCATAATTATTTTTTTTTTAAACTATGAAACTTCACGAGAGTTGAACTCCCGTGAAGTTTAGCAGATCTACTAAACTTTACGGAAGTTCAACTCCCGTGAAGTTTCAGAATTTTTTTTTTAAAAACCGACCTGGTTTCAACGCTGAGGCTGAAACCAGGTCGGTTTTTGTAATTTTGTTTGAATGAGGTCTTTTTTTAAGAATAAAAATCTAATAGGTCTCTTTTGAAAATTTGTCATGCAATTTGTAGTAGAGATTCTTGTCATCCTACGATATTATATGTATCGAACATTCAACCCCTATAATACATGTACATATAACAGACCCCTATAATACATGTACATATAACAGACAGATAAATTAGTCTGGGTATCAAAGACTTTAAATGCTAATGTGTAATTTTAGGTCCAATCCAATGGTTAGTTAATGGAAAGGTCCATATCCAAGGTTTTTTAAAAAATCCGGATTGTGATGGAAAAAGGGGTTTGTAAAAATTTTTTATGTCATGTGATTACACAGTGTTTATAGGGGGGCAAAATACTTTTGCACGTGTTTTAAATTTAAAATAAACTATATATTTAAACGCAAGACCTTGCACAAAATCTGTAAGGCCCATGAACAACACCATTGTTGTCTACGTTGTGGTAGGGTCACAAGCTAAAATACACTATATTTTTACAGACAAGACCTTGCACAAAAACTCTAAGGCCCATGGACAACAACATTTTTGTCAACGTTTTGGTAGGGCCACAAACCAAATGCCCATTAAATATAAGCATGTTGGGCTTTTGAGCAAATTGCGGAAAGTATGGACAGGGCTCACAAAATTCGAGCACATTATACTTCATCTCATAATGAGGAGAATTTTTTGACAAAGAGCAGTTTTGAAAAATTATTAGCAAAATTGACATTTTAAAAAAAAATTTAGCAAAATTAATCAAACTATTTTTAGGCACGTCATCTTCACGGATAAAAAAAGAGGTCAATTTTGTAAAATATCAGCTTAAAATACACAGGACTTGTAGTCTCGTATAAGTAGTGGTCGCTAATTACGATTAATCTGAAATGATACTCCTGTGTGCTTTGTGCTGAAATAGCTAAGTTTTAATTAATGAGAACTAATTACATGAGATTACTAGTCTCATGTATTTTAAAGTTGATATTTTTTAAAATTGATTTCTTTTTGAGCAGTCATGATAACGTGACTGAAAAGAGGTCAATTTTGTTAATATTTTCAAAAAAAGTTGATTTTACTAATTATTTTAAAAAAAAATATTCTTTTCAGAAAATTAGAGAAAAAACCGCTCTAAAATTTGGGGACTTTATCAAACCTTTGAACAACGGATGAGTGTTAGGACATGAGTGTTAGGACCTTCGACTAGAGGGGTCCAAGGATCAACCAGTGCTCCAAATTAAATATGAGCCTCATTCTCGATGCCTAATTATTAATTAACCTAGCACAGGTTCCTTGTCAAAAAAAAGGGGAGGGGGGAAAGTTCCACTAACTAAAATACCTCCTTTAAAAACTGATTTTGTAGATATTAGTCCCTTAAATCTTACATAATTGCATATTAGTTCATCAAATATTACAAATTGCATATTAGTCCCTTCAAATCTATATGGCCTAGCAAAATGGTCTAATAAGTTAAATCTTGTTAGATTTAAGGGGAATATTCCTTCATATCTAACACGTTGAGACAAAATTGACCATTTTACCCATCTATTATGTTTTCTAGCCCATTTTTTAATGGATTTAAACCTTTTACCTGCTTAAAATACCCAAATCCACATGAGTTCCTTCTTTTCCAACAATTAGCAAAGAGCCCTAATCTAAGGTTGAGCTTCGCAAAGGCTTGAAACATCAGAGAGATGATGGTTTAGTAATTGCAGATATTGGGTTTGGAGTTAACCCAATCATGATTACGTTTTTTAAACTAAAATAGCAACCAAGAGGCCATTTTTGCAAGGCCCTACAGGATTTGAGGGACTAAGATACATATTTCAAGATTCGATGGACTAATATGCGGTTATTGAAGATGTAAAGGACTAATATCTAAAAAGAACCCTTAAAATAAACTTCATCTTCCACAGTACAATTTATAAACACTACTCTGAAATTTAACACAAAGTTAAGGGGTTATGTGAAACTCCCCAAAGCATGGGGAATTCTCTGTCTTAAAAGTACAAGTTCAAGAGTGTTCAATGAGTTCTATAAACTTACCCCTCAATGCGTTCACGTCCGAATCTAATGAACCTGACCAATAAATAAAAGGGTTATTTGCATATGCACCCTTTAAATTAAATAAAAGGGTTATTTGCATATGTACCCCTTAAATTATGAGTATCGGTAAAAGCACTCTTTAAATCACAATATTTACAAAACTACCCCACACATTATCAATTTTAGGTCAAAATAATTAATCATCAACTTTAAAAAGATCATTTTAAATTGTAATGTAGAAGTTATCAGTAAAATAGCAATTCTAATGTAAAAATTATCAATAAAATAGTCAAAATTTTAGCGCCAAGTTGATAATTTGTTGATATTAGGGACATTTTTTTTAAAAGTTGATGACTTGAGAGGTTGTTTTGAAAATACTAAGATCTTGGGGGTAAATTTGCAAATACCCATGATGATAAAGATTCCTTATTCATAAGTCAAAACCCCTTCCAGAAATGATGATCATGGCCGGAGCTCCGCCGCGATCTACCACCGCCTACCGACGGTGGTGGGATCCGTTACGTGCGCCGCAATTTGGCGGCCGTCGCATCCTGCGCCATTCTCTCCGTCGCTGTCCTTCTCGCCGTCGCCTCTTGGATCCTCGACTCTAGCGCTAAAGAATCCCGATCTCCTTTCCCTTTCGACCCCCATCTCGTCGATCTCACCCTCGTTCGTAATGCCGCCGAGAAAGGAGCTGGTAAGATTTGATAATTTCACTCTTCCTTCTTTTTTCTTGAAGGTTTAGGGTTTAGCGAAGTGATTTGCTTGGTTTTAATTTGGATTTGGACGTTGTTGCAGTTTGTTTGGATGGGAGCAGGCCGGGGTATCATCTGCAGAGAGGTTTCGGATCTGGTGTCCATAGTTGGGTTCTTCATTTGGAGGTAATCGTGATATTTTGATTTTATATTTTTACTTTTTTAATGATTCTTTAGGGAAAATAAATTTGGGACTGTAAGTTGAAAATAATTGGAATTTAGGTAAGAATTAGTTCGATATTGATTGCATAGGGAATTCAAGAGCAGAGATGACCTTGCCAGTGTATGTGGATTATGGAAAGACGAGAGATGCAGTGCAGGAGCGGGTCGGGGGGGGGGGGGGGGGGGGGGGGGGGAAGAAACAAGCAGAGAACCTTACAGAAGTGGAGAAGTTGGTAAATTACGCGGATGATGAATTTCGATTGAATTGATGTAGAAATGGCATGGCAAGGAAAACATGAAAAGACATGTTTAACAATTGCCACTTATCATCCCGGCAACCAGTAGAAGTTGTTTTAGTATATGGTACTGTGTAGATATGTCCATAAAGGCATAAACTCCTCTTAAGAATTGGAAATATTCTCGTCATTAACCATGAGAGGTGCCATCTAGGATTTAGTCAAGTATTTCAAACTGTTAGCCCTCATCTTTCGAGCTGAACAAGCATGAGTAACAGGGTAATAAGGGATACCTTGAGCTCTTTTGATGACTTTGGTTATATGATTCTTTGCATTTTGATGCATTAGTCCTTTGAGAAGTTCTGAAGGTCGCTATTTTGGTTTTGTCACGGCCTTAAAATCTCCTATATAATAGAACTTTTAACTAGTAAAGTTTGACCCTTAATCCAAAATATAAAGTGAACATAAATATCAAAAATTTCTGACTGATTTTCACTAGAAAAATACAACAAGTTATTTTATGCCAAAAATTTGTGGTCGGACACAGGAATCATATTCTTTCATTTAGTGCCATTAAGGGCTACTCCTCCATTATATTAACTTTTCACCAAGAGAATCCATAACAAATTTCTAACATATAAATCTATGACTCCAGTATTTCTTTCTCCATATGCTCAGCCTTAGATACAAACTAGGAAAAATTAAAAGATATATCATATATATAATGAGGCGTATACCTCTAGCCAATTAAGTTATCTAGAAATTATCAATATCTTGCTGAAGAAGTTCCCTCTCATCACACATGAAATGAAATGTTGAATCACCTAATGAATACTGAACAGCATTAGAATGAGCTACATATCTTAGTAAGTAGTTCTATATAAGTATATACATGCGGTAAATTAAACCGACATGAATCAGTTGCGCAGGCTAAACAAATTGATTGCCATTGCCAATTAGGGAGAACTAAATATGTAGACATTATGATATTCGTAACAAGAGAGTGATTCATGATAATAATGATTCAGTACCAAAATTCTACTAATGTTAAGCCCAAAATGTCTAACTTTTCTAGAAGTAAAAAATCTACTTTGGAATATTCAAGTACCATGATGTTAATCCATAATGGATAAAATGAAGAAAGGTCAGAATTCCGAAGGTAAATTACAATGAAGGTCAAAATCTGGATGAATTGCCCAAAATGCAGATTCTGAAGGATGATTTTGCTTGAAGGCAAGAACGATAACTAGTATAATTTATTACAGCAACACAATGATAAGTACCTTTCTCTAGTATCCATTGTGGACATGTATTTTGCTTTTTAGTGTCCTGGACTCCTGTCATATATTTACTATAGTCACATAATTTTGTCCGTTTTTAAACTTTTGGGTGTCAGTGTATTTGCTCTTGCAGTATATAAGCAATTACTGATTTCCACTTATACACACACACAATATATATATAATATATTATATATATATATATATATATATATATATATATATATATATATATATAGAGAGAGAGAGAGAGAGAGGAGAGAGATGAGCTTATGTCAATTTAAGTTGATAGGAGACATTGTCCATAAACTTTTTACCCACTCATCTTGTCTTTAGATTTATGCCATCAAAGAATGCACAAATCTCAAAAGACTCTTCATATCTTTCACGGATCCTAAGGTAATATCAATGGATAAAAAGTGGTGGATAACTAGCTCCTATCCACTTAAATTTACATAACTCTATTATATATATATATATATATATATATATATATATATATATATATATAATATATATATATTATATATATATGTATGTATGTGTACACACAAACATATGTGTGTGTGTGTTGTACACATACATACATACACGTATACGCATATATATATATGTGTATGTATGTATGTATACGTATAAGTGTATGTATGTATGTATGTATACGTGGTATGTATGTATGTATACGTATAAGTGTATGTATGTATGTATACGTATACGTGTATGTATGTATGTATGTACATACATACATATATACATATATATATGTATGTATACGTGTGTGTATTATGTACATACATACATACATAACCTATATATATATATATATATATATATATATATATATATATATATATATATATATATATATATATATATATATATTATATATATATATATCATAGTATATAATATATATATAAAGCTATATAGTATACAAAATTTGTAGTGTTTTTTAACTACACATATCTACAATTGTTTTATTGTAGAATAAGCACTAGAATCAAAGAGTAGTTGTTTCTCATGGGGATATACACCAGCGAGAGCGGGGTTTATTGGTTTCACCACCGCAGGCCGACTCCCCCACCGGCTAACTTGGCTCTGATACCAACCGTGACCAGGACTTGTTTAGCCTTGATACGATAGAGCTAGCTCGTGGGGAATACTGTGTAGACGGAGGAGAGGATATATTTATTGTTAAAACTACCCTCTACTATGAGAAAATTCTTAAAGAAACAGAAAGTGCATTTGCTCATCATAGATACCGAGGTAAAGAATACAGTATGAGTTTATTTACATTGAAGATCAAAAGAATTCTCTTAAACATTTACCTACTGAAAACCAGGTCTATATGCTAAAAAGGATCTCAAACACATGGAAGACAGAAAAAGATAAAGAAGTCGAATCCTTACATCCTCCTCTTGAACCAATAAAATTCGGTAAAGGAAAAAAAGAAGTCAAAGCTACTCCTATAAAAACTCTCGAGTCAAATTCCAACACAACTAAACAAGAACATCTCTCTCTGGTTATTGAACAAAATAATTTTACTAACATTCATCTTCAAACAATAGGTAAACAAACTGATAGGATTGAAAACATGCTTCTTGACATGAAAAAACCTATCATCAACCAGATATCCATGCCACCTTTTGCCCCTCAGACTTTCACTGAGAATATCAAATTAGGAAATAATAAACCTTTTAAATTAAGTGAGAAAATGAGTAATCTTACTGAAGAATTAACTAAGAGATTAAAAGACATGTCTTTAAATAAATCTCCTGCTATTAATGTCTTGTCTGAATATGAAACTCACCTAGATAATACAATTAACTATCTGATTGATTATAATGAAACCATCCAAAACATTAGAAAGCAAACCTAACCTTCTAGCTCCAAAAATTACTATAGAACAACTCCAGCTGATATGCAATTTGAAGAAATAACTGATAATCATAAGACAAATTTTGATGGGAATTCTCTTGTTGAGTGGAATCTTGATGGATATACTGAATACCAAATTATACATCTATTACAAGAAATGCTTATTTATGCTAATGCCTGTAGACAGCATGACAATACTGAAAAAGACATTGCAAGCGGAATATGTTCTTCCTTTTCTGGTCAATTGCAAGGTTGGTGGGATCACTATCTTACCCCAACAGATAAAAATAACATTCTAAATAATTATAAACAAAACCAATTAGGAGAACCAATTCGCGATGCAAATGGACATTATATTAGTGATGCTGTTTACACCTTACTCCTTTTCATTTATCATCACTTCATTGGCTTAGCTAATAGCCTTCAAGATAAAGTTAGAGAACAACTCATGAATTTTAGGTGTAAGACCCTTACAGACTTTAGATGGTACAAAGACGTATTCCTTTCCAAGGTCTACCAATTACACGATTGTAATAACCCTATTTGGAAAGAAAAGTTCATTTCAGACATTCCACCCTTATTTGCTGAAAGAATAAGAGAATCCATTAAAGAACAAAGTAATGGAAGTATACCTTATGGTCAAATTCCTTTTGGAGAATTAATTCAGAGGGTAAATACCATTGGCCTAAAACTTTGTAATGATGTTAAAATTAACAATCAATTAAGAAATCAAAACCTGGTAGGAAAAAGGGAATTAGGAGATTTTTGTTATCAATTTGGTTTTCAAATGGAAAATCCAAGAATAAGAAATTATAAAAAACGACAGAAACCAAGAAATAATTGGAAAGAAGAAAAAACACCTCCTAAAAGAAAGACTAGAACAAATAGTACTAAAAACCCCACTTGTTATAAATGCAAAAAGAAAGGACATTATGCTAATAAATGTCCACAAAAAGATCTAAAAACTAAGGTCAATGAACTTTTATTAGACTCCAAAGATTTTACTACAGAAGAAATTGATCAGTTTATTAATAATTTGAGACTTAGTGATGTTGATTCCTCAGATTGTGAAGATTTATGCAATAATCTTTGCATTTGTTTCAACTTTTCCGAAAGCTCTTCAGAAACTTCCCAGATAAACACTTTAAACGAACACGAACAATTTATTCTTAATACTGATCCACAAGAAAAAAAGAACACAATTAACTAAGTACCTTGAAATGACCAAAAATAAGGGAAAACATTTAACCAAAGTTCTTGAAGAAAAGAAAGAAAACGAATATTATACTTTCTCTGAAATTATAAACAGAATTCAAAGTGAGAAAAAAATTTGAGAATAAAGTAAATATTGAAGAACTTCAGAAGGAACCGGGAAATTTAAAAATAGAACTTCTTGAATTAAAACAAAAAATAAACATTTTAGAAACTTACTTAGAAAATAAAACCATAGATGAATCTGATGATTTCAAAAATAGAAAAAACTTTGAACAAGATTTTGATGACAATGAATTTATAAATTCTATAGAAAAATATGTTGAGAAAAAATGGAGATGTAATATCATGCTTAACA